AGCTATTTAATAAGAAAACCTCCTTCAGCTCTTCTATAAAAAGACTTCCTTCAGTTCTTCAAGAAGAAGACTTCTCTGGCTATCTATAAGAAGACCAATTCAGTTTTTTTTATATGAAAACATCTTCTGAGCTCTTCTTTAAGAAGACCACCTCCAGTTCTTCTATAAGAAAACATCTTCTGAGGTTTTCTATAAAAACCAGTAAGGAATGTAGTAAAGTCGGACGGGACCGACTATATGATACCCTTCACCACTTTCGGTATATCCAACAGATAAAACCTAAAAAACGTCGAATTTTTAAAGGACCAGGGACAATATTATGAAAGCTATATCAAAATCTAATCCGATTTGAACTAAGCTTGCCACACGTTATGTTATAGTAACTTCAGTACGTAGAGTAAAATTTTGTGCTGATTGGACCCACCATGTTAAAGCATTTAAAACCAACTTCTAGGTTATTCTAACTCCAGTACGTTGCGAAAAGTTTGTGTCAATTTTGTGTAAAATCGGACGACACCATTTACATTAAATCGGACGAAAAAATATATGGGGGCTATATCTAAATCTGGACCGATTTTCAGGAAACTTAACACACATCATTCTAGACCTAATTCATTACGCTATGCCGAATTTCGTGCAAATCGAACGATATATAGGGACTTTGGTACACCATTTACATAAAATCGGACGAAAATATATATGGGAGCTATATCTAAATCTGGACCGATTTTCAGAAAACTTAACACAAATCATTCTAAACCTAATTTAGTTCACTGTGCCAAATTTCGTGCAAATCGAAAGATATATAGGGACTTCGGTATACCATATACATTAAATCGGACGAAAATATATATGGGATCTATATCTAAATCTGGACCGATTTTCAGGAAACTTAACACACATCATTCTAGAGCTAATTCAATACGCTATGCGAAATTTCGTGCAAATCGAAAGATATATAGGGACTTTGGTACACCATTTACATAAAATCGGACGAAAATATATATGGGGGCTATATCTAAATCTGGACCGATTTTCAGGAAACTTAATAGACATCATTCTAGAGGTATTTCATTACGCTATGCCAAATTTCGTGCAAATCGAACGATATATAGGGACTTTGGTACACCATTTACATAAAATCAGACGAAAATATATATGGGAGCTATATCTGAACCGATTTTTCCCAATTTCAATAGGGTTCGTCCTCGGGCCAAACAAATGAGCTGTGCAAATTTCATCCAATTCGGATCATAAATGCGACCTGTACTTTGTTCACAATTTAACATGGACAGACAGACAAACAAACGGACGGACGGACATGCATATATCGACTTAAAAAGTGATTCTATGCATATTCTCAAAAGGAACCATGTGTCTATCTTGTTTCCTTTTGCCTGTTACAAACATATGCACAAAGACCATATGCACCACAAAGTGGTGAAGGGTATAAACATATCATCCCTTTAGCACTTCTATATGAATACATCTTCCACCTCTTCTATAAGAAGACCTCCTACAGCAGGTCAAAACACTTCAAACGGTAGCTTGAAAACACACAATCTATAATATTCATAAAAGTTTACCGGTCACAATATATGGGTATAAATTACGGCAACGTTAAAAAATGTGAGTATAAGATACCTTGATCTGATTATGAGACGTGGTTGGGCGCCATACGGTAACACAGTTTGATTTATTATTTTGATCTAAAAACTGTCAAAATGTTTGAAATACTAGTTCATATCAATTATATATTGAAGGAGACTATATATTTCAGATATGCGAAGAACAGTTCAGAATAGAGTATAATAGGATTTTTTTCTCACGCGGTTAGTATGTTAATAAACAAAATTGTCGTATTTGCGTTTCGAAAATCCTCAAACAATTGAAGAGAGGCCCTTACATCCAGAAGAAGACATCATAGGCTCATATGTAAGAAGCCCTAAAAAAGCTCTTCTATAATATGACCTCTTCTATCTTGCTCGTCTTTTATAAGAAGTCCTACTCCGCCTCTTCTATAAGAAAACGTACTTCAGCTATTTCGTAAGAAGGCCTACTCTTACTTCTTCATTATATTTTACTGAAGACATGTCATCTCAAAAATAACCCGCAATAGCTGCAACAAAAATATATAGCTTTTTAACTCACTTACTTACTTTGTGGCTTGCGACAGAACATTTACAGGCGCGTCGGTATTGTGCGCAGCTCTTCCAATTTGAAATACCATACTTTGATATATCGCCTTCTACTTAATCTTTCATCGAATTCATGGCCTTCTGCTTCTGCGTGAACCATCAGTAGGCTCGCTTTTATATGCCTTTTGTGCGGGGGCATCCTCATCACAATATAGCCTAGCCACCGTAGTCCGTGTATAGATGGTAAAGCTCATGGCTCATTCGACGCCGATATTCACCGTCGACACAGATCGGCCCGTAAATCTTTCGGAGAATTTTTCTCTTAAATACTCCAAGAACTGTATCATCTGCTTGCACAAGTACCCATGTACGGGTAGTATTATCGACTTGTAGAGTGTGAATTTGGTCTGGCGAGGGGTGACCTTGTTTCTATACTGCTTACTTAGACCATAGTAGCATCTGTTGGCCAACACTATCCATCTACGAATTTCAAAACTGATGTCAGTAGTTTTATTTATGGCGATACCGACGTACATAATATCTTTTACTAACTGGTAGCTGTAGGTTCCAATCATTGGACATGCATTCCTCATTCCTCCTGACCAACATCTGACCACCGGACTTGAATAGTTCGGCACACTCTGCTTTGTTATTCTTCAGTCGATTAATTGATCAATTTGATTTCTCTTTGTTTTATCGGGAGAAATCCAGGTGACCTTATGTATATCGAGATGGTTAAATCTAGTGCTGCTAACTATTATTTTTATTGCTGCCGCGAATGGTGGAGATGGTTAAATCTTGTGCTGCTAACTATTATTTTTATTGCTGCCGCGAAATCAATCAATCCCATGCCGTTGTCAGATGTTTCTTTATAAAGACTGGATTTTCCGACGGTGAGGCCATTCCGATTTTTGCAATAAAAACTCGTAGCAGAATTTTAATGTCATGGGCAGGGTCATATGCTGTTTCTAGGCGCTCGTTAAAATGTCTTTGATCTGGTTATCTTTGTCGTCCGACAGATTATGGGCGCAAATAAGACTGATGTAGAAGAACTTCGCTTTTATGCGGATTACAGCAATTCGCTTATCTACTGCATTCTCTTCTTAACCACAAATCCGCAGCCAAATTTATGTCTTGTTTCATGGCAGCTATAATACAGGGTGTAATCGTCTGATTTAGGGAAAGAGGGACCTAGCCTGGACTTTGCTATGTTAAAGCCGATCAGAGCCGTTGCTTGGTATCTACCATCTCTTACGCCAGTACCGGGACCCCCTGGCCATTTTCCAGGCATCGGGAACTATTAGGGTGGCTAACTACAATTTGAGGACTATGGTTATGTACTATACTCCAGGATCAAACACTTAGGATGAATGTAAAATTTATGACTTGGGCGGATTTTGGGCATTTTTTGTTTTCATCATATTGATATTTTATATTTGTTTTCTCCATGTTGTGAGATATATTATAGGCCCAATATTTAAAAGAAGGCGTAAAATTGTTCCTTATAGTATACCGATATATGTCGACCGTCTGCCTATTATAATTTGTTGTTATGGATCCTTCGTCATTTGGTTAGGTCAATGATCGGTAAATCGGTTAGGTCAATGGTCGGTAAATATTTGGGGGATGAAATGGACCAACAAATTTATTTTTGGTTTTTTTCTGGTCCCTCTAGAGATCACAATCTGATCTGGAAATAAGCATAGATGTTCTCATGAATATCGGCCAATATTTGGCGGGTCCAATGGTCCAAGACTTTTGTGTGAAAAATGAAAAAAAATACTCCGCAAAACGAAAACCGTGGAAGTTGACACTATATCAAAGATGAGTGGTTGACATTTAAATATACTAAAAATTATGATGTATTACTCGGATGTGGAAATTTAATAAAATTTCGTGCCGAACGTTACAAAATGTTTAAAGTTCCGGGTGATACCTATAGTTTTCGGTAATGACTGGTTAATATTTATGGGATTAAAGGTCATGTTTATAATCCGAAATCCATGAAATTTAACCCGGAAGATAATGTGGGCAACGAATAAACAAGCCTTTCTACACTTTTATTATTAGAGGCACAAATATGGGCAATTGTGCCATACACATACTACGGACGGATATACCTCTGCACAAAGTCACCTAAATAAAAGTGAATGTGGAATTGAAAGTGGAAAAAAGCCTATTATCAGTAAATTACAGAAGATAAGGAAACGTAGAATTAAGTCAGGTGGTGTAATATCGAGGTATTCCGTCAGTGAAACTTTAGAGAGAGGAATAATATGGAGAGGTGGGTTTTTCTCTTACAGAGCCAATCTTATTTGTGTCAATCTCTGCAGTGTGGTGAAACGACTCATCACTAGTTTATATTATGATCCGCTGGTAACATAAATTTGGTTATTTTTTCCACCCTAACTGGTCTAACTCACTGGCAAGAACTGCGACCCCATAGACTGAGCTTACGCCAAGGCAAAATAGTCAATGCGATAGTTTCATGCTAGGGGGTCCCTAGGACATAAGAGTAGTTTACCTCAGATTGTCAGATGCTGAGGATAACCCTTTATAAAAAAATCTCTTCAGGGTCATTCACCAGGGTTCATAATACTCCCCAAGAGTAGCAGTGTTTTTAACTGAATATATATTTTAATTCAGTATGATCTGATGTTGTAACATATGTTCTACAAGTAATACTTCTCATATCCAAAATCATGGAAGAATCAAGGCTTCTTTCATTCATACAATTTTTACCAAATCGATATTCTCCTTCAATATTGATATGAACTAGTATTTCCAACATTTTGACAGCTTTCAGATCAAAGTAATACTGGGTGAGATGAAAAAAAACTGCAACAAAGTCAATCGCCATAATTTTTACATTTTTTTTTAAATTTTATTGAATGAAAGCAAAAAATGTCGGAAATAGAATCAAATTTTAGATTAAGTCTAGATTTGTTCGAATTTGTCACCTTTGGCACGAATTATGATCTTCAAACGTCCAATGAAACCGTCACACGCTGCCCGAATGTCGCTCTGCGGTATTCTCGACGAAGCGCTGGCTTGAGGTAATCGACACCTCGTTGGTATTTTTTAGTGCCAACCTTGCTTTCTAAAATACTCCAAACACAATAGTGCGCTGGAAATGAAGCGAGGAGCCTCATTTTGTAACCAGTCTTGGGTGGCGCGTACTGAGTGCGATGGTGCTGGCCAAGAATTTAATACACCCTCCCGAATATTTTCGCGATAATACTCGGCATTTATCCTAATGCCACGGTCGATTAACACGAGCGAAGAGCGACCAGTCTGAAGTTGGTTGCAGTTTTTTCATCTCACCCTGTAAATCAATCTGTGTTGCCGTATGGCGCCCAACCACGCTTCATGGACCGATCAAGGTCTCTTATACTCACATAATTTTACAAGAAATGTTCCAGAAATTTGTAGCAATATAATGTGACCGCTGAACTTTTATTAAAATAATAGATTATGTGGTTTTCAAGAGTTTCGACCTGCAGTTTTCTTGATTTCTTAAAATTTTGTCTATAAAGCATTTTTCCATTTTCACTATTATCATATTAATTATCATAAAACTATTTATAATTAATTAACTCTCTCAAAATTTTATCTCTTTACCTTTTTTCGTTCCATAGTACAACAGAGGTTAAGTGTCTTTTTTTGTACTCAACACAGATTCCACTTGTGAACTGTAGCAGTAATTGACCCAAATAATACACCAAAATCACTTGCAAGAGAACGAAAAAAATAAAAAAACCCACAACAATATTCGTTGAAAAAGCTACATACCTACCAACAACATCAAGTGCCAATGTAATACCTATAGTATCTTCAATCTTCATCACCAACCATACTGACGTTAGTGGTATTGGAACAAAAAAGTCAAGGAACCCTTTGTAGTTATTTACTGAAAGCATTAACAAAAAACCCGGTCGAGTTCATTTATTCATTTACAATTGTTTTAACTGCGAGTGGTTGCTGATACCCGACAATTTTTGCAGAAACAAGAAACGAGACGAGAGTGCAACAAGAACACAAAAAAGAACATCATTACCAAACAGTCTGTCTGCCGGCTGTCGTCGCCAACGCCGCCACCACCTCGAGAGATCAACAACCTACTTAGTGGGTCGACTGCATTTAACACCACCCGGGTAAGAAGAAAAGCCGCCAAAACGCCGTACCACACGAAAATGGAACGTAAACTGCTATACGCCTTTCGAGGCTGGATAGCATTTGTGGCCTTTATGGATTTGGGCACAGCATTTCGTAGCTATATTGAGCGACGAAGTTTTCTCGACCATGCCGATACACAATTCATCGAAGGTAAGTTATGCAAGAATTATGCTTTGAAATGTTATCATTGGCAACCAAACGACAAAAATTCTGCTAAAGGATTAGTGATTTGATATTTCCAATTTTTTTGTTCGTTTTAATTTCAGGAGATTATACGGTATCGCGTATTATTGGAATGTATTGTTTGCTTAAGGCTTTAGCTTTGGTGCACTGTACTCTATATATACACTATAGGCCGTAAGTATGATGCAAACAATATTTAAATAAAAAAATCTTTGGAAAAAATATTTTTAAAAAATTAAAGCCTTGCTGGCTCTTGAAAAATGTAATTTTAATAAATCCACGCCTAGTTCTAGCCCTTGAAAAATTTAATTTTAATAAATCCACACCTTGTTCTAGACCTTGAAAAATTAATTTTAAAAAATCCACGCCAAGTTCTAGCCCTTGAAAAATTAATTTTAATAAATCCACGCCTAGTTCTAGCCCTTGAAAAATTAATTTTAATAAATCCACGCCTAGTTCTAGCCCTTGAAAAATTTAATTTTAATAAATCCACGCCTAGTTCTAGCCCTTGAAAAATTTAATTTTAATAAATCCACGCCTAGTTCTAGCCCTTGAAAAATTAATTTTAATAAATCCACGCCTAGTTCTAGCCCTTGAGAATTTAATTTTAATAAATCCACGCCTAGTTCTAGCCCTTGAGAATTTAATTTTAATAAATCCACGCCTAGTTCTAGCCCTTGAAAAATTTAATTTTAATAAATCCACGCCTAGTTCTAGCCCTTGAAAAATTTAATTTTAATAAATCCACGCCTAGTTCTAGCCCTTGAAAAATTAATTTTAATAAATCCACGCCTAGTTCTAGCCCTTGAAAATTTAAGTTTAATAAATCCACGCCTAGTTCTAGTGTTGAAATTATCCTTTTAAAATGATCCAGGCGATGTCCACAGCAGTAATTAAAACACAGTTTATGTTCGGGGGGTTTTTCAAACTTTATTTACACAGCTTCAACTTATAACGACACACGTTAACAACTGAGAGCACGATACTTTACAACTGAGCGCAACTTTATAAACTGAGACAACCTCTCTATGTTACAACTTCTTTTATCTGCTTCTAGATAATTCTGTTCTAGATAATTCTTATTCTAGTTTATTCTAATGGTTACTCATTTATCTATTTTCATCTCTATTAAAGTAATCATTAATTGCCTACTTATCATATTGTAAATGATCAACTTAGGGATCACTAAATACCATTAAATATATGTGTTGCCAATTATTTAATTCACAATATTTAACACCCCTCCTCAACACATATATTTCTTAATCTCTATATTTACATACATATATACATTACAAATTGACTTACAATGGTAATTCTTAACTACATAGACACACTATGTTGCGATTTCATTCTTCTCATTGACATACAATGACATACACTTTTTGTAGACACACTACACTAACCCTACACTCTATGCAGACACACTGCAATTATATACATACATTTAATTCATAATTTCCATTAATTATATTTCATATATCTTTTAAAAGGCTTCCACAATTTGCTCATCAAATTTTATTCTTTTATAACTCTTTTTACGGTCTACCTGTGTTTTCCCCTCCTTAATGGGACTTTTATAACTTTTCTTCCAATTGAAATTCAAACACTCTGTTGGTCTCTTGGGCGGGCTGTATAAATACATATTCCCTACTTTCCTTGCACATAGCACTGTTATTCCCTTTTCAACAATTCTTGCCCCTTTGTCATCGAATTTCACGCCCGCTTTCTCTGCTACTCTGCCCACTGACAAAAAATTACATTGCATCTCAGGTACATACAAAACCTCTTTTAACAGCACATTACTTTCTGCTAACCGCACACTGCCTTTGCCCTTCGCAACAATTTTCTTTTCGCCAACCAAACTGATCTCTTCATAATGATCTTCAAATTTCTCGAACATTGCTTTATTGCAGCATAAATGCGTTGAAGCTCCGCTGTCGACACACCACACGCTGGAGTTCAATACGTTCTTGTTGTTGTTGTCTGGCGGTTCTAACATTGAGTATGAATGTGTGTGCGCTTTCTTGCTGTTGTTGTTGTCTTTACACTGTGCAGCGAAATGTCCTCTGCGACCGCAACTGTAGCACTTCACATTATTTTTGTTGTTGTACCTTCGCTCACTTCTATGCTCGTTGTTGTTGCTGCACACGAATTTTCTACCCCTTTCTTTGTTGTTGCTGTATGACCGCTCACTTGCACTTTCGTTGTTGTTGTTACACTCGAACATTCTGGACCTTTCTTTGTTGTTGTTGTGCGATCGCTCACTGCCACCATTTTTGTTGTTGCTACTCAGGAACTTTCTGGCCATTTCTCTATAGTTGCTGTGCGACATGAACGCAATTTCGTCATTTTCTGCCTCATTGGTGGTTTTTCGGCGTTCACCTTCCTCTGCCAACTTGATCTTTAGGCTACTCAACGTGGGCAACTCATCTCTTGATTCTAATGCCACCACAAAATTTTCAAATGATCTCGGCAAACTTGCTAGAAGCATGATGACGAACAGCTCTTCTTGGAGCTCTATGCCCGTTTCAGCCAATTTGTCGACTAACGACGTAAACTCACTTACATGGCGCTGAATCTCGTCATCTTCACCCATACGCATGGCCAGTAACCTTTTAAACAGGGTGACTTTCCTCACTGGACCTTTTGGTCTGTGCACTTCACGTAGAATATTCCATGCTTCGGCCGATGTTTTGCAACCTTTTATGTAGGATATCTGCCTCGGGGTGACACACAAAATTATTGTAGCCAGTGCCTTCTCATCTTTCTTAATCCAGATCTCATCCTCTTTTTGGGGTTTCTTACATTCACCACTGACTATATCCCAGCACTCCTGGTGGATTAAAACTGCTTTCATAGAAACGCTCCAGGAGTCATAATTGGACTCATCCAACTTTTCTATGCTGTATATGGAAGAACTCATCATCTCTACGCTGGTGTTTCCAAATGCGTTTTCTTTACTTTGTTATTGACACACAACTTGCCTGCGCACACAGTTTTCCAACAGCTCTCTGCTTTTCTGCTACCGACACACAGTAACAAATTCAAAACTCTCCGTTTGTTGACACACAACTGATTATCACTTTATCCTCTTGATCCTTAAGAGATCGCCTGGGCAAATCTTAATACTCAGCTACCTGGGCTACACTTGATCTTTCAGCGTTCGTTTGGGCAATCCTTCATCCAGAGCTTCCTGGGCCCATAACCTGTTGAAATTATCCTTTTAAAATGATCCAGGCGATGTCCACAGCAGTAATTAAAACACAGTTTTATGTTCGAGGGGTTTTTCAAACTTTATTTACAGCAGCAATTCAAACTTATAACGACACACGTTAACAACTGAGAGCACGACACTTTTCAACTGAGCGCAACTTTATAAACTGAGACAATCTCTCTATGTTACAACCTCTTTTATCTCCTTCTGAACTTATTCCAGATAATTCTATTCTAGATAATTCTTATTCTAGTTTATTCTAATGGTTAAATCTATTCTTTAATAAATCCACGCCTCAGTTGGCCATTGAAAAATATTCTTTAATAAATCCACGCCTCAGTTTGCCCTTGAAAAATATTCTTTAATAAATCCACGCCTCAGTTGGCCCTTGAAAAATATTCTTTAATAAATCCACGCCTCAGTTGGCCCTTGAAAAATATTCTTTAATAAATCCACGCCTCAGTTGGCCCTTGAAAAATATTCTTTAATAAATCCACGCCTCAGTTGGCCCTTGAAAAATATTCTTTAATAAATCCACGCCTCAGTTGGCCCTTGAAAAATATTCTTTAATAAATCCACGCCTCAGTTGGCCCTTGAAAAATATTCTTTAATAAATCCACGCCTCAGTTGGCCCTTGAAAAATATTCTTTAATAAATCCACGCCTCAGTTGGCCCTTGAAAAATATTCTTTAATAAATCCACGCCTCAGTTGGCCCTTGAAAAATATTCTTTAATAAATCCACGCCTCAGTTGGCCCTTGAAAAATATTCTTTAATAAATCCACGCCTCAGTTGGCCCTTGAAAAATATTCTTTAATAAATCCACGCCTCAGTTGGCCCTTGAAAAATATTCTTTAATAAATCCACGCCTCAGTTGGCCCTTGAAAAATATTCTTTAATAAATCCACGCCTCAGTTGGCCCTTGAAAAATATTCTTTAATAAATCCACGCCTCAGTTGGCCCTTGAAAAATATTCTTTAATAAATCCACGCCTCAGTTGGCCCTTGAAAAATATTCTTTAATAAATCCACGCCTCAGTTGGCCCTTGAAAAATATTCTTTAATAAATCCACGCCTCAGTTGGCCCTTGAAAAATATTCTTTAATAAATCCACGCCTCAGTTGGCCCTTGAAAAATATTCTTTAATAAATCCACGCCTCAGTTGGCCCTTGAAAAATATTCTTTAATAAATCCACGCCTCAGTTGGCCCTTGAAAAATATTCTTTAATAAATCCACGCCTCAGTTGGCCCTTGAAAAATATTCTTTAATAAATCCACGCCTCAGTTGCCCTTGAAAAATATTCTTTAATAAATCCACGCCTCAGTTGGCCCTTGAAAAATATTCTTTAATAAATCCACGCCTCAGTTGGCCCTTGAAAAATATTCTTTAATAAATCCACGCCTCAGTTGGCCCTTGAAAAATATTCTTTAATAAATCCACGCCTCAGTTGGCCCTTGAAAAATATTCTTTAATAAATCCACGCCTCAGTTGGCCCTTGAAAAATATTCTTTAATAAATCCACGCCTCAGTTGGCCCTTGAAAAATATTCTTTAATAAATCCACGCCTCAGTTGGCCCTTGAAAAATATTCTTTAATAAATCCACGCCTCAGTTGGCCCTTGAAAAATATTCTTTAATAAATCCACGCCTCAGTTGGCCCTTGAAAAATATTCTTTAATAAATCCACGCCTCAGTTGGCCCTTGAAAAATATTCTTTAATAAATCCACGCCTCAGTTGGCCCTTGAAAAATATTCTTTAATAAATCCACGCCTCAAATGGCCCTTGAAAAATATTCTTTAATAAATCCACGCCTCAGTTGGCCCTTGAAAAATATTCTTTAATAAATCCACGCCTCAGTTGGCCCTTGAAAAATATTCTTTAATAAATCCACGCCTCAGTTGGCCCTTGAAAAATATTCTTTAATAAATCCACGCCTCAGTTGGCCCTTGAAAAATATT